ACCCTATCTCAGTACCAGTACATACTCGGGACGTGCCAATCTAGTAATGCTTATGATCCGACACAATGAGCGCTCTCCCTAAATTCTCCTCAAACTACCACGCTTGCTTCATGAAACGAAAATTCGACACGATGTAAATGTGGCCCCCAGATGCAGTCGCTCCAATTAAAACAACAGCAACCACGATGGCTGAAGACAGGCTGTGAAAAATAAAAGACGTAGAATAACCAAATAGAAGATCATGGGTCCTCATTGCACCACTTCCTCAATAAAATCCAACACGTAGTCGGCAACTTGCTCCCACCCAGACTGAAATATCATCCCATGCGTGCGACCGGGGAACATCTTGTATTCTACAAGTGAAGGCCCGGTGTACGCTTTGAAGTTTTTCATCACGGTACTCGGAGGTACGATGTGATCTTTTGAGGCTGAGAGTAATAACAATGGGGCCCGGTCGACCCTGTCAAAGTCAACGTACGTCGGAGCAGACAGCCCACCTGCGACGTTGGTGGTTAGCTGCCAGAGGACCTTTGCGACACCCGGAATGCAGTAGCGCTCGTAGTATTCTTTGCTCTTGTCAGATGTGGTGTTGTTGACAAAGGCCCAGTGGAAGTGGTCTTCGGAAATGGATACGGTGGTGTGCGCATTGAATGGGTTCTTGATGATCGGAAGTGCGGCCTTGAAAGTGGTTTGCGGGAGAGTGATAATTCCTGCTGGTTGTGCCGGGCATATTGCGACACCAGCGACGCCGAGCCCTCTTGATAACAGTATTTGCGCAAACAGGCCACCGAAAGAATGGCCGATAATGATAGGTGGTGCTAGCAGTTTGTGGATGAAGGCCTCGTAGTATCCGACGATTTCCTCAATGTGCCTGTTGGCCAATAGCTGTGGATCGGCCCGGACCTCTTCGGGGGTGCGGCCGTTGATTCCCGGCCACTCGGGGGCGTGTACCTCGTACCCCAAATCATCGAAAAACGGCACCCAATGTTCCCAGTATGCGGCGGTAACCCACAGGCCATGGATGAATAAGATCGGCGGTTTTGAAGAGTCCATGAGTTTTTACTGAAGAAAACACAATTGTTTTCCCTTTTCGAGTGAGAATTCAGACCCTGATGGCCAAGATCGCAAGACCCTTGAAGCCCCGTGTATTTGAAGCTCCTGGCTTCGGTGCTCGGTGACCACGCCAGCCCGTAGTCAATGGCGTCACACTGACCTCATCACTTTGCGGCTTAGCCTGTGCTTCGTAGGCCATCGACGACGCCCGCGATTCCGATCTATCGATCTCGCCCGGCGAAAGGTCTCTAATCACCACTTAACTGCGAGATGGATTTCTTTGTTCGATCGCGCATACCATGTTATATTTTGGGCGTGTTGTCTTTGGGTATGCCGGAGTAAACGGGTCGAGGAAATTCTCGTCACTCTGGCTTATTGGTTACCACGCGTGAGGATGCATGTCATCTCAAGTACTCTTGACAACTGAAGTTTGCTCTTTTGGTTTCATGCACGCTGTAGTTCTAGAATAGGCAATACCAGGTCCCACGGGGATCCGAGACATTCGGACAGATTATGGCTCTCATTACCTCATGTGATGTGTGTGCCTAATACCCCCTAAATTCCCGGGGCGATGTCAGTCCTATCGGGTACCCGGGCACCCGGGTACCGATGATCGATGCGCTATCGGCAGCACGGATCATCGACGTTGCTGGCCATTCTCACTGTGTCAGTGGCACCCTCCTGTCATCTCCTTCCTTGCCCATGCAGTCCAGATAGTGAAGTCGGTGACAAACTTATTGGAACAGTATCATTACATATTCGTCTTAGCCTAAGTTCTTGCGTTCGTCCGATTAAAAAGAACACTTTCACGGAACGACGTTTATTGAACTGTAATTTTCGTTTTGACTGAGCTCGATCTCGTTGAGTGTCGCACGCACTAACCAAAATCCGTGTCAGCCATGTACTAGTCAAACATTGGCATAGCCGCTATCCATTTGCCTGAGATCATTAATCATCTTTGTTCACTACTTGAACTATGTCATCTTGCTTTAAGCATGAATCCCCCTAAGAGACCGGGTTCTCTTCACAACTTGATAACAAGCATTCAGAAAGGCGGAGATTAGTTGAGGGCAAATCTGACAAACTTTGAAGGCCCTATGGGCTTGACTAGACTCACTTGCATCGCAATTATTAATGTTCTAAAACGCCGTTAACAGCTTGATTTGAAATCAGAGATCAGAATGGAGTACGTGCTCCAACAGAAATGGTGCTGTTGGGGTAGATAAAAGTATGAGCCTGAAGCCGAAAGTATTTGCCTTACCATGAGTATTTGCCTAGACTTGAGAGTATGTGCCTGAACTTGAAGTCTCCCGCGACCCACATCCCGTGAACTTGGCTTGAGCCAGGAAATTCCCACTAAACGATACATCAGAGTTCAGTCATAGGCTACCTCTATTGAACGAATCTCTAACCCTCCAACTCAAACGTGGTCGTGCATTATGGACACAAAACGGATCATTGCCAGGTGGTTGCAATATGTATTATTATTGGCTAAGGTACTAGCTACTAACGCGAAGTCTTAGTATTAACACCACCTACTTTCTCTCCACCTCCAGTGAGGCGAGCACAAAGGCAGACTCGCCCAGCAAGCTGTTAGGCGACAGCGGCTGGTTTGTGTAGTACTCGTAGGTAGCAGTCGAGTTGAGACTGCACACCGCCACCGTCTTGTCGAAGCCAATGGTTCCGTTTCCTGGGTCGGTTACGAAATGGTTGACAGTGTAGTTGTATGCGCGAAGGGCGGCCCTCTCAAACCGGGCGGGAGACTCTGAGTAGATGCCCAGCCTAGCGCCCTTAAGCATGGAGAACATGAAGAGCGCCGTGCTAGAGCTCTCGAGGTAGTTGCCGCTGCGTCCCGGGAATGTAGTGAGTTGCCACCATACACCGGTCTGGCGGTCGGCGTACTTGAGCAAGGCGGTTGAGAGCTGTGTCGTAACATCGCTGAGTTGCTTGCAAACTGCCTTGGCTTCCTCTTTGCCAGCCGGGCAGTCGAGGGTCTCCCACGTCTGGACCAAGCCAGCGACAAACCAGCCCACGGATCGACCCCAGACATACGGGCTCGAGCCGGTCTTCTCATTCGCCCAGACTGCAGTGCGCGAATAGTCGTATCCATGAGCGACCAGCGAGGTGTTCTTCTGGAAAGTGTGCTCGTAGAGCAGAGACACCTGCAGGCTGATGTCGGTGTAGTTGGGGCGGGGCTGCGCCGCCATGAAGGGCAGAACAGAGAAGATGCCGTCGAGGTAGCTCCATTGGGGATAGACGTAGTACCAGAATCCGCCGACGGGGTTGCGGATCTGAAGGGGAAGCGAGCTGTTCAATGCATCGAAGGCTGAGGCTGCGGTGGCTGAAATGGTGACGATACCGGCGGTGGAGGCATGGTTGATGGCGGTTGCGACGGAGAAACGGTCGAGGGGTCGCGTCGAGTCATAGGTCGCGTTGGTGAGAGCCGGCGAAGCAACGTTAAGTACGTCCTCGAGGTAAGGCGCGTACCTGCTCTGCAAATCGGGGTACTGCTTGATTGTGGCCTCCATCGCAATGGCCAGAATACCGCTTTCCAGGGTGCTGCTTGAAGCCCCAGATGACTCAATTCCTTGGTTCCGGGTCTTGATGCTGTCCAGCATCCATGTCGAGTATCGACGGGTCTCGCACGATGCGAGAGTCGCCACGCCGCAGAGGGCGGCAAGCCAAACCGAAGGACGACGCATTGTACGATCGGATGCCCTGCGTGAGTGATAAGAGAGGAAAGGTGGTCGTGAAGAACCAAAGGTCCGGTGTCGCTGATTTCCACGGTATTTTATATCAAGGCAGCCGGGCTAGGGCGTGTCATTGCCGAAGGGTTCCTGCTGCTTACGCGGGGCAGTTCATCAAAGGTCCCCCCGTCAGCGCCAATCATTTCCTCGTTCTAGGCTGTTTAGTGCACCGGTTGCACCGGAGACTTCAGTCTTCAAATGACGGGATGCGTGGTTGGGGCAGGGGTTCCCTGTGCATGCACCTGTTCCTTGTGAGTTGAGTGCTCTCAATCCCTGGTAGCGATGCCGTTCAGTCAAGTATTCTGACGGATATGCGTTTTTAAAATCCGTCGAACACAGAATGAGAGTTGGTAGACATGACTAGCGGTGGTTTATTCATGAGTACACAAGTCAGCGTGAACACTGACCGGCCTTGTTGAAAAAATCAAAAAGGCACATTGGAAAGCTTCGAGCAATAGCTGGCACTCACACCCTATCAAAGTTTTCAAAAGGTTGACTTCAACAGCGCAAACAATTTCTGGCTTCTCAGCGCCGCCCACAACGGGAGAAACACAGCGAGCAAAATCTTCCCCGCATGGATCGTAAACAAGGCCTTCCCGGTTTCTCGACGAACAGTCCCTGATACCCGGCGGTCAGACCCCAAATCCGCGGAAGATCCACTAGTCGGTTGATCGCTACAGCGAGCACAGCGAGGCCAAGAATCCGGGAAAGTAATTATCCCCATGTTTCCCCAGCTTAACTCTGTTTCTCCAGGATGCTAAGAGTGCGGGGTGTTTATTGAGATGACGATCAAGTAGTTTTATGGTGTCAAGGCTATGTTTTCCGCGGACTTGGCACCCGGTGAAAAACTGGAGGCCGCGGCGGATTACTCCCACAAGCCGAGGGCTTGCCCTCGACTTGAAGACGACCTTGAAGTTGCGAGGGTCAGTAGCCCGCCACACGGAATACGTAAAGAGTTTTGGGCTAAACACGATAAAGAATAGTATGCGCAGGGTACATTCCAATGACACCCTGGGATAAAAAATATCTTGGAATCATTGAAGACCGCGACGACAAAGACAGACCTCACGGGCCCGCTATCGTCGTTCGTTCCAAGTGACACGGTCAGGTTTTGCGGTGGAACTCAGCATCAACTAGTTCCCGGACGCACTGTAAGCTTGCGATTTATAACAACAACTCTTAATGGTACATGTAGTATGTTCACAAGCAATCAATATCCAATTCCGTTTCCTTGCGCCGACGGACCCTGACTCTCGCGGTGGGATTGCTTGCATTGGTGAACCCCAAAACCATTGGCGATGCATCGGTAGTGGGCAACGCCTCCCACTCATACTTTAGCAACAGATGACACATGATAATCTTGATCTCGTAAGCCGCAAAGAATCTTCCGGGACATGCGTGATCCCCGTGTCCGAAGGCAAGGTGGTCAGGGCTCGTCACAACCAGTTGTGCATAGTTGGCCTTGCGAGGCTGCTCGGCCATCTTGATGAACCTGTAAGGGTCCCACTTCTCGGGGTCTTGGTGCAGCTCTGGATCTCCCATGCGATATGTGTCGATCGCGATCCTATCTCCTACTCTGAGGTGGAGTCCATTCGACAGAGTGAGAGGTTTCTCAACTCGTCTCCGTAATGATGCTGTATATGTGTCAGTTTCATCGGGAGGTACTCTATATCTGTTTGAGGAGTGACTAACCAACTCCAGGCGGCTTGTGACGTTGAGCTTCTTTCAAAGCGCTGTCCAAAAGCTTCATGTTGTGAAGAGATGACTTCTTCAAGCCCTCAGAACGTAAGATGTGAATGACCTCCTCTCTAAGGGGAGCGGCATACTCCGGGTGAAGAGCCAACTGTAGTACAATCTCTGTTACCAGATCAGCCGTAGTATGAATCGCGGCGACTGCTAACATAAGCTTGAATGAATTTGTCAGTCAAAGTCCAGCAACTCAGATAACTCGTGTCGATCAATATACTTACCTGCATGATGGCAGGATCGTAGGTCACGCCCCTCGTAGCGGCCTCCTGGTCTGCCCAGTCGATGGCATCATAGAACTCCGGTATCTTCTTGCCAGATACCAGAGCAGCTGCTCGTGCGGCACGACGCTTCTCAATGTAGGGCATAATGATGCGGCGTGACTCGTCGAAGCTTGCGCGTAGTTCTCGACACTTCGGCACGAGCCAATGGAGAATACGGCGTAGAGGGCGTGGAATCATACGGAGATGTGTTCCGGCGACGAAAAAGTTCACTGTGTACTCTTTCGTCGCTCGCAGCCAGTCCTCATTTCGACACAGTTCCTCGCCTAAGAACACGCGCGCTGAAAGTCGAGCGACCGTGTCAAGAACGATGGACTTTACTTCAATCTCTCGCCATTCTGTTAAACATGAGTCGGCAGCTTGGAATTATCGTCGATAGGGGTTGACGTGCCTTCAGAGTCTCCAAGCTTGTCTGATAGAGCTTGCGCAGCTTCAGCTGAGACTGGCTCAATCACCTGAGCTATTTCTAATCAGCGACCAGACACGTTTATACTAACATGATTCAGTCGGAAAACTTACCGATGCACTTAGTGAGCTGCTTTCGCACCAAGGTCTGTAGAACCGCATCATCGTAACTGTCTACCGCAGCGCCCTGAAATCCGGGTAAATGTCCGTGAAAGTCCTAAGACACAACGGTCAACATCGAGTCCGCTCCCGTTCTGTAGCCGTAGCATACTTCACCAAAGGCTGACCCGAAGCTCAGTCTCGGATCGTTACGGATTTCATCGGTCTGTTCAACGGGCAAGAATACGATCTCGCCGAGGTCGGTGATCATGCGGTAAGGGCTTTTCGGAAATAGGTTGCGTCCCTTAGCCAGGAGACTTTTGCTATTGAATACGAAATCGCGCTGGAAATGAGATGCGAGATCAGCTTTTCAGTTGTCAACAGGCCTGTCGACATGAGAAGGCTTACTTTGGATTCAATGTTAAACACGGAGAAGCCTTTGCTGGGGTTCAGAAGCGGTAGATGTTTGAGATTTCCCCGTCGCGATGAGAAAGAAAAATACAGAATGACTACTGCCAGCAGTGCAAGAGCAGCGGATGTTACAGGCGGTAGGAAATAAAATCGATCCCACATGCTCGGCAATAAGAAAAGGTATGAGAACGACATGTTTTCGGAGGATCCTCTTTCGGGCACTCAGGGACAAACATTGAGGGGGCTTTGTAGAGTGCTGGAAGACCAACATAACTACCACGATCAATACCGAAATTTAAATCCTCTTCTGTGCCATTGTTGTGCCATGTTTCCCACACATTGACACTGTGTTCACTGCCATGATCACAAGACCAACGCCCAGTGCCTGTTACTACTGCTCGGTATCAGAATTACAGTCGCCCCGATAGACCCAATCGCTCAACATCCGACGAACAACGTGCACAGATGTCCACTCCGTCGGGTTTCTCTCAACCCTTGACGTTGCAACGGCTCTCTTTCTGGTGACTACATCGCCCGGCACTTTCCACGGAACGGCCCATTGGTGGGTCAAAGTGAGGCGTTGCGCAGGGCTTAGAGCGGTTGACCCACGAATGGGCTCCCGAAAATTTCCAATCAGTCAACTTCTGGTCCGATCGAATCTACAAGATGGAACCGACTGGAGCTAACTGAGTCGCGCAACCCATGATCCCTTCATCCACTAACAACTAAGCGAATGAAGCCTCGACCAAGAAGTGAATGACCTCTATCACGACCTGCAGGCTGGCATTCAATCGCGATTCTGGTACGATGGTAACTGGGAACGACTTAAAACATCCAGCAACATGAATCGCGCTGTTACTCGTTACTCTGAGATGGCGCCACGCTTCAGCGAGATCCCAATTCCCAAGGCAATGGATCAGTAGATTTCGGTCGATGCTCGCCTAAGGCTTTTGTGGAGGCAATCCACCGATGCAACTTTATTCGGTGAATTTGAGGAGTTCACTAAACGAGCTAGGCGCTCTACCATAGCTGAAGAATGTACGAGCTGGTCGCAAAATGGATACCGATCCTTACAGTAGTCTACCACAAAATTTCCTCTCTATCAGTTCCATGGGTTCACAGATCGAGTGCAACTTTGTAGCATCGCCTGCGTTCGTGTCACGCTTGGCGTGGGCTGACATCTTCCAGACATCGTGAAAGATCCATAGTTGATGCGTAGACCAAAGTCTAGAATATAGACACAATGGGGAATTTAGAGCTTCAACAGACGATTCCATGACTCGGCTTCATCGCAGCGCTTCTCGGAGCCTGCCGCGCGATGAGTGAGGATATTCGAGCCAGATTCAACCGGCATCGATCGTGAGGTAGTGACGAACGGAGGCGTGATGATTCAATGTTAAATAGACACCAAAGTCGCCTTGACGAATGCAGTCTCTTCGCAAACTATCTTGCTTCATCTAATTCAGTAATACGTTTCACACAAACGGACGCTCAACCGTCAAAATCTCCGACCTCCTTTTCTGGACTCTTCATCATCACGAGTCACAACCGCCGGCATCATGGGAGAATACATCCAGTCGTCTTCAGAGCCCTTCCTCGTCGCTGTATGTGGCCTTGGACTTCGTGCTCCAGGTGGCATCCGGAATGCCACGGACTACTGGGACCTCCTTGTGAACGGCAGGGACGCAAGAGGACCGATTCCTGACACCCGCTACAACATTGACGGCTTCAACGACGCCCTCGGCGGGAAGAATACTATCAAGACCAGGTTCGGATACTTCCTCGCCGATGACCTCACACGCATCGACACATCGCTTTTCTCAATGTCTCGCAAAGAGGTCGAGCGATGTGACCCCCAGCAACGACTACTCCTCGAGGTTGCCAGAGAGGCTCTCGAAGATGCCGGCGAAACCAATTACCGCGGGGAGCGCATCGGCTGCTACGTTGGCACTTTTGGTGACGACTGGGCGCAGATTGCTGGGAAAGAGACTCAGCATCAAGGCGGACTCGGCTACGTTGCCACTGGAAATGGCGACCTCATGCTCTCGAACCGAGTTTCGTACGAGTACGATCTCAGGGGTCCTAGGTAAGTCGAATTGCGGCATAGCCCGCCTACGGCTCGCTGACAACTGTAGCATGACCATCAAGACTGGTTGTTCCGCGTCACTTGCTGCCCTGCATGAAGCATTCCGGTCCATTCAAGATGGCGACGCAACCGGCGCCATTATTGGGGGAACCAGCTTAATCATGACCCCAACCACCACCGCTGCCTTTACTTCTGAAGGCATATTGTCCCCTGACGGTTCATGTAAGTCATTCGATGCAAAGGCTGACGGATTCGCTCGCGCCGAAGCAATCAATGCCATTTATATCAAGCCTCTTTCTGCTGCCATTCGTGACGGCAACGCGATCCGAGCTGTCATCAGAGCCACAGGCGCCAACAGCGACGGCCACAGCCAGGGACTCTTCACACCCAACCAGATTGCCCAAGAGGCCCTTATGCGCAAGGTCTACCGAGATGCCGGCTTGGACCCATCTCAGACCGCATATGTTGAGGTACAATCGCCTATCTCGCGCACTCTCCGAAAGTCGTTGCTGACCCAAGGTGTAGTGCCACGGAACAGGAACCGCGACCGGTGATCCTATTGAGACATCGGCCGTAGGCGAGGTATTCGGTGAAAAGGGCGTGTACATCGGTTCCGTCAAGCCGAACGTCGGTCATTCTGAAGGTGCTTCGGGACTGAACAGCTTGATCAAGGCGGTCCTTGCCCTGGAGCATAAGACCATCCCGCCAAACATCAAGTTCAACGAACCCAATCCCAAGAGTATGCCCCTTGACAATTTCATAATCTCTCAGACCTGGAACTAATTTCTCTTTCAGTCCCATTCGCCGAGAAGAAACTTACCGTTCCTACTCTCCCAACGCCCTGGCCAGCTGACCGAGCTGAGCGCATCAGCATCAACTCTTTTGGTATTGGTGGCACGAACGCTCATGTAAGATGATGGCTTTCCAAATTGCTTCCTACGAAGCTGACAGCTTGCAGGTCATCCTTGAGTCCTATGGAAAATCCAGGCCCATCATTAACGGACACCGCACATCACACCCCGAGTTACTGCTTGTGTCCGCGAACACAGCCGCCTCACTCAAGGAGCAGCTAGATCGATACCAGGAGTTTGTCGCTTTACATCCGGAGGTCAACAAGCGCGACATCGCCTACACTCTTGCTACAAAGCGAGAAACTCTGCCTCATAGAGCCTTCACCATCGTCCATGGCGACAACATTGTCGAAACATCAGCTCCTGTGAAGGTACCCAGCAAGGCCGCCGACGTCTACTTCATCTTCAGTGGACAGGGCGCGCAGTGGCCCGAGATGGCGAAGCAGCTCGTCACTACCGATCCTCTGTTTGAAGCTGATTTGAAGAGAATGGATGGTGTTCTCAAGAGCCTTGCCCATCGGCCGAGATGGTCCATCATCGGTAAGTAGTAACCGCCCTTAATTGCCTAAGGAGAAGTGACTTACTATCCTTTTAGATGAACTTCTTGAACCTGCGACCACAAGCCGAATCGGCACGGCGGAGCTGTCTCAACCTCTTTGCACCGCAGTTCAACTTGCGCTTGTCAACAGGCTTCGGGCAGCGGGTGTCAAGCCCACAGCAGTCGTCGGTCATTCTAGCGGTGAGATCGCAGCTGCGTATGCTGCAGGCGCCATTACTCTGGAAGCAGCCATCATCTGCGCATACTACCGTGGTTATGTCACCAAGCAACAGACTCTTGCTGGTTCCATGGCTGCGATTGGGTTGGATCCTAAGGATGTTTCCAAATTCCTCGTCGATGGCGTTGTCGTGGCATGCGAGAACAGTGCCCAGAGCAGCACCATCTCCGGTGACAAGGAGAAGGTCACGGAGGTCATCGCACGAATCAAGGCTGAAATGCCTGACGTGCTGGCTCGTCCCTTGAAGGTCGACATGGCATATCACTCTCGTAGGTCTTTAATACCGCTCACAGCACTCGATACTGACAGTTTTTAGATCACATGGCTGCCCTTGGAAAGACCTATACCGCACTTCTGGAGGCCGAACTACAGAAGATTGGAGCATGGTCCAGCAGTGCCACGTCGTTATTTTTCTCAAGCGTCACTGGCGAGGTACTGGATAAGAGCTTCTCTTTTGGTCCTGACTATTGGCGAACCAACTTGGTTTCCCCGGTCCGGTTCTCCACGGCTGTCTCTCGCCTCGTCGAGACCCAAGGTGATGGCTTCTTCTTGGAAATTGGTCCCCACTCAGCGCTTGCCGGGCCACTGCGACAGATTTGCTCCCAAACCTCTTGTCCATGCAACTATGCATCTTGCCTCATCAGAGGCGATGATGGCGTCAAGACGTTGCTCTCTTGCTTCGGCAGGCTGTTCCAAGAAGGTTTCCATCTCAACCTCGGCGCCCTCTACTCCGGCGGCAAGACTCTCAACGATTTACCCACCTATGCATTCGACCACAGTCTGTCGTTGTGGTACGAGAGCAGAGTCTCGCAGGCCTGGCGACAGCGGAAATACCCTCACCATGCCCTCCTGGGAGCCCGTGTTCCGGAGTCGCCCGACACTGCACCTCAGTGGCGCAACATTCTATCTCTGGAGGACGAGCCATGGATTGTCGACCACAAGGTCAAGCAAGACATCGTCTATCCTTTCGCCGGCTACGTCGCGATCGCTGGCGAAGCAGTCCGTCAGATGACTGGCGTCAATGCAGGCTACAGCATTAGGCACACGGTTGCCCACTCGGCCCTTGTTCTGAACCACGAGAAGGCAGCTGAGTTGATGACGACTCTGCGCCGTCACCCTTTGACGGACTCCGATCATTCGGAGTGGT